CTGCACGGCTGTCAGCCCACTTTTGTCTGTTGTTAGCAGAAGCTGACAAACAAATCCCATCAGAGTAAGAATGTTACAGTGTGTGCAGACATCTGACATCTACATCAAACTGAAGATTTTCATTTTCTGTATTTTCCTGCTCTTACGCCAGTTTTTCATCTATTTTCCTGCTGATCCACCACTTCCTCTCACTCCCTCGTCCTCTCTCATTAGACGTAAGCACCACGGCTCCAGCGTGCTGACACCTCTGGATGAGGAAATCGAGTCAGCTCACACTGTGCAGCAGTTGGCTGAGGCCGGCAGAGCTACCCTGTGGTGCCAGGTTTGTATCTAAACTAAATATGGTGGTGGAGGTGCCACAGCCACGCTGCCACACGTTATAAACGTTGTGTTAGTTTATGTTCATAACAAGGCAGGAAGCCTGAGATGGTTTGGACGGGAAGAGAAAAGATGATTATAGTTATTATAGCGGGCAAAGGATTGAAATATGGAGCTGCGAGGCAGGAACAAAAGAGGAAGATTTATGGATGTAATGAAAGAGGACATGCACAAGGTTGGTGCGACAGAAGAGGATGCAGGGAAAGGCTGACACTGACACAGAAGATCTGCTGTGGAATAACTGAAAGCAGCAGAACAGAATCAGACACGAAGGGCATCGTAGCTACAGCGTCCCTGTCTATAGAGCCAGTGCTTGCATATACTGCACACTTTCCAAATGGACAGCTGAAACACCACAACTACTAGTACCTTCATTCATTTACACTACCAGTCAAAAGATATAAAGTTCCAGTTATTTATTGCAATTCAAGTCATTGCAATTCATGACTGAATGAATTGATTCTGTCTGTCTGTCTCCTTCAAGCTCGGGTCCTCTACCAGAGGCCTGGAAGCTCGAGGGTCCTGCGTAGCTCTTCCCCTCCATGCATATATTTATATATGTATGTGTGTACTAACTCATTCAATAATTTTCTTATTTTTATTTCTACAAAACTGTCATACGTTTTGTTCCATGTGTAGATTTCAATGTGCACAAAATGTGGAGGTAGTGTTTGTACAGAAATATGTGAAAAACCATCAAAGCTAAAGGCTTCAGATATTCACGGGTCCTTCTCACCAACAAAATAAATCAGGACGTGTAATTTAGAGCAGATACATCTGAAACGTTGCAGTAACGACTTATGAAATTTAAAAAACTCAAGCAGTCCTGTTAGGTCCCATATTTGAGCACATACTAGTACAAAATACTTTACACTGCAAAACACAGCGAGTAACTTTGTCTTAGTTATTTCAGCTTTAAATATTATATTTATCAATAATGCAAAAATAAAACACGAACATGAAATTTTGCCACACTTTTAAAGAAAATGTTTTTTACATTTAACTGTTTGTCTTTTTGTGTCGAATTGTAACACAACAAAAAATGTGAAGATGCTTCTCTAATTATATCTCAGCTGGTTCACAGCTCACTCACACTGTGCTACTGACCTGCAGAAAGAAGATCCCCTGGCCAGCCGTACTATCCTCTACCAGATGGTGGCTCTTTATGATTATGATGCTCAGGGGCCAGAAGACCTGGAGTTCAGTGAAGGCGACACTATTGACATCCTCGGTGAAGGTGAGGCTCCACGGCTCAAAGTGAAACTTCTAATTATTGTTTTTGTCTGCAATTTGAATTGATGCTGCAGTCCTGGGTCGTCTGTTTAAAAAGTATTAATTTCCTGTTTTTCTCTGTCACACTCGTCTGTAGTTAATCAGGAGTGGCTGGAGGGACACTGTGCAGGAAGTATTGGGATTTTCCCCAGCTGCTTCGCCTACAGGGAGAATAACAACATCGCTCTGAGCTCAGAGATTTTGTAATCAAAAGTTCATTGTTGCATTAATTTTTAAAGCACCTGTTATTCTATGAATGTAACAGTTTACAGGCTTGGAGCAAGCAATCAGCTTACGAGGCTGTTAGTGCACCGAGTGCTGTCTTCACTGTGCTGCGAAGATATTTTTTAATAAAAACTTTTGTTTAAGAACATTATACATGAAAGCTATCATATTGGTGTATCCATCATTACCATATAATCTTTATTGCATGTTTGATGTATAATATTATTAATGTATATACTCTCACTCATACATCAACATGTTGGAGTGAGGGGGATTTTTACAGTACTGTGTGAACAACCAGTGTTTGTGTTTCAGATCTTTGTTTGATCTTTGATGATTGTTATTCCTGGTTTTGGTTTTCTTTGGTTAGTTCTTACTGATCTTAGTTCTTGCTTCCTCTGTATTTCTCTTAGCCTGTGTTCAGTCTCTGTCCTCACGTTTTCTCTGTGCCTGTGTCACGCCTCATGTTTAATGTGATTGATGATGTCATGCTTCTTGTAGGCAGAAAGATCTGCCATCCATCACCCAGTCGCTTGCTGGTGATATCAGACACTTCCTGGTTCATGAGCTTCTGTTCCCTCTGTTCCCGAGTCCGTCACGTCTCAGTGTGAAGCCTGTGTCTCCGAGTCTGTCTTTGCATATGTGTTGTGCTTCCTTCCTGTTTTCCATTACCTTCGCCCTTTGTGTTTGTCCTCTGTGCTCCAAGTAACTCTAATTCTCAGGTCCTGGTTTATTTTCTACTGTTGTAGTGAGTTTTATACTGATAATAGTGAATCCAGCAATAAAGTTGCTGCTTTCAGTTAAATTTCCTGCGTTTCCTGCATCCTGCCCGCCATACAGCAAAGCATCACATGATTATTCACATGTATACAGTATATATATGCATGCATACACGTGTTCACAGACATATATGTAGATTTATATAAACAAGCCTTAGTTGAAAACATGAGAGAGACTCTAATCAAGTACATTTTTTTTTTTTACCAAACTTGGTAAAACCCAAAGGGTCTGTTATCTGTTTCTATAATAAACAGTTTATTAAAAAGAACTTCCACTCCTGCATCTAACACTGATTTTAGAGGAAGATACACATTTACGATATTTGCAAACAATAACATGATATAAAAGCTGTGGATCACCTGGAGGACCCCAAACTTACGATTTGTAACCCCAACTCTACACCGAGCATCAGCCCCTTTCAGATGGTGAATCTCAATGTTGACATTTTCCAGCGGTACAGACCAGCTCACAACATGCTGACTGTGTGTTACAGCAGAGGCAGGAACATAAGGTGTAGTCGGTGTCTGCAACAGCTGGGGTGGAGCTGAAACCAACACACACCTCAAAATGTTGCTGTGACAAACGTAACACAGGCTTTATTGTGGTTCATGTGGTGTTTTTTGGATTTCTGTGAAAAATAGCACATGGCCTTATTAAAGACACCTGCAAAACTACTGTGCTTGTACCCTGAGCTTTGCTATCAGTCTCAAGCAAAGTCAGAGGCGATCAGAGGCTCGGCTGATCTGAGTCCTGACACTCAGAAATACACTCAAAACATGATCTGACAAATCAGTCGGAGGAGTAATCACATCTCAAAAGTAATAACCATATATACCAAAAGCAGGCCTTGATCCAAATGTACACATACTGTATTTTGCCCTTATGCAGCTTTAGAAGATGCAGCATATATTTTCATTGCCAGCTGTATCAGTGAAGCCAGAGGAGATGAACCAGTTAAAGTTAAAGTGCAGGAAAGTCTTAAAAATGCAAAAGCCTGAATAATCTCTAATTTCCTGTTTCTACATTCAGATAAAACTGTGTTATTGTATTCACCTTATAAATATTAGCAACATGCTGTCTGACCATGTCTTTGTGTTAAAAGAGTGTTTTTCCTTCCTGCTGTCACCAAGTGGTTGCTCACAGGAGGTCATGTGATTGTTCGGGTTGTCTCTATATTACTGCAGGATCTTTACAGTAGAAATCACCTCGAGGCAGCTGATGCTGTGATTTGGTGCAAATAAAATGTCATTGAATTGAAAAATACAGGTACTATGTTCTTTCCCCCACACCATGACAACACCCACTTATTCTTTAACCCACTTTTATACTTATTTAAGATAGTAAAAGCTACAAAAGCACATAAGCATCTCATTAGACTAAAATATATATGTCATGTTCTGCTTTGTTAACAGAAATGCACTGAGGTGCCTTTTCATTTTCCCCCAGTTGTGTTTTAATGATGGGTTAAAGATAGTGAGATTAGCTGGGTGGGAGACCGAGACTCAGAGCCATGAAAAGTTCACTACTTTGTGCATCAATAGCGAGGAAAGGAAATGTCAGGTGCTTTTAGCCGTCATCAGAATGGCAGATGTAAAATCCTGTCTGTGATGTGTGAGCAGACAGCTGTTGATGTCAGATGGCTTATGAAACAGAGACCTCTAATTACTGCAGTTCTCTCTGAATGCACAGCATCAGCGCCCACATCCCCGTCACAGAAAGGACGGGAATCGTATCAGCTTTACATAAGAGAGTGAAAGCAGTCAACAAATGTTCTGTGTGCAGTGAGGAATGATTTTAGATTTCATTACACCCTAACATCTGTATTAGTTAATTAGTAAGGGAACGAGTTACAACTCAGAGTGAATCTTCAACAGTAACAACACAACTTATTGTAGGCAACACAGATAAAGGAGATAAACAACAATCTAGTGACCAGAGCTGGAGAACAGCTTTGAGGATAACGCAACAACGAACAAGGAAGACTGAGGGAGTAAATAAAGGGAGAGATAACCTGGAGAGAAATAGTTTAATGAGACTGGAAGCAAGTTAAAGTGAACACAAGACACAACTATTAAAAATAAAACAGGAAGTGAGACAGAAGAGCTGATACAGGGGAAGACAGACGGACAACACTGGGATCACAGCAAAACAAAGACACAGAAGGAGGAACAGAGTGGAAACACAATGGGAATAAACAGAAGGAAAACCCGACAGTAACAAAACTAAGAACAGAAGACGAGATAAAACATAAAGGACCTAAATCACGAGGTAAAGCAGAAGATAAACGATATTTGTAAACACATGACAATAACAACAGAAATTCAGTCATTTTATTGAAGAGTATATGTACCGTGGTATGAAAAAGTGTTTGCCCTTTTCCTATTTCCTTTTTTTTGGTATGTTTGTCACACTTTTGACACTTTAGACACTTTCAAAATTCTATTGAAAAGCCACTTTTATTCCTTGGCTTCCAAACCTACATGGCCCTGTATGAACAAGTGACCCCGAATGATAACAAAAATTAATTGTGGTGTGTCACATCTCTGAAAAACAGAATTAAATTTCTCTCGCCACACCCAGGCCTGATTTCTGCCACAATCAAAAAAACGAAACACTTAAGTCGGACCTTTCGGTCTACACAAAGTGGAGCAGTAGAATTTCAGGAACAAGTGAGAAACTAAGTAATTGAGATCTGTTTGTCTGGAGTTATTAAGCTGTTTCTAAAGCTGTGGGGCTCCACACAGTCAGAGCCGTTATCCACGATGGTGAAAATATGAAACAGCGGTGAACCTCCCAGGCTGGCTGACCACAATGACTCCAAGAGTGCAGGGACGAGTTCTCACAAAAGACCCCAGAACAACATCTGAAGAACCGCAGGTGAGGGTCAGTGTTCATGACTCCACCATAGGTGCATGACAAGGATCCAAGACAAAGGCTTGTCTCAGTTTTGCCAGAAAACATATTGATGATCCCCCAAGACATTTGGGAAAAGATTCTGACGAGACTGATGAAGTGGCAGGTGTGTGCCCTATGACATCTGGCGTAAAAGTAACACAACATTTCAGAAGAGCGACATCATTTGCTGCCTCAGGACCTGAAGACTTGCCGTAGTAAAAGGAACCATGAATTATTCCGTCTACCAAAGCTTTGTGGAGGAGAATCTCCGGCCATCTGTTTGTGGCCTCAGGCTGAAGCTCACTTGGGTTCTGCAGCAGGACAATGATCCAAAACAGCAAGTCCACGTCTGAATGGCTTAAGAAACACAAAATGAAACTTGGTTTTAATAAACCAAATTGGTTTATTCCCTCAGAATTCCCAATCCATAATTTTCCTCCCTTTTCTAGCATTATGATAATTGGGATGATACCTATGCCCTGTTCACTGTTCTTCCTTTTTGTCTCTCCTTCTCACCCTCTGTCGTCTCTCGGGTTCTCCCCCGGTAGGAGGCGGGTCTGGCTGGAGGCTCAGCGGGGTGGATATTTTTGGGGTCAGATGAGGTCGCCGCCACTTTGTACTCAGCCATACTATGGCTCACAGACCTTGCTATCATCATGCTGTTCCCACCACCTTTTTCTACATGAGCTCCTTTCACCCTTTGGATTTGAGTCCATTCCCCGACCTCCCCCAGGGGGCGCCCCTGCAGTCATCCAGAGCTCGGACTACAGGAGGAGGACTCTGCTCGGTGTTCTTGGACCCGTCATATTTTGGAGGTTTCCTAAAAAAGCCGACACATTAGAGTGAATGCCTTTATTTTGATTTAATGAATGGCTTTTCGTCCCGGTTTATTGCCTCTTTTGTGTATTATTGGACAAAATCCATATGGGAGGTTAGAGGCATAGCTTTCACCCTCCCAGGTCTCTCCCCCTGTCTTTGCTCCGGCGCAGGAAGGGAGGTTGAAGGGGGAAGAAGAGAAGTGAGAGGATGGGATGACGGTAAAGAAGGACTTATGTGTAGCAGTTGTGGAGCCGGAGTGATCCGGCAGGAGTCCAGGTCTCCTGTAGCTGTACGGAGAGGGGGAATATCTCTCACCTCACTGAACTGCAGTGTCGGTGAGGGATGGTCTCCCAGAGGAGTGGATTGTGAGTTCTGGCTGGGGGGAGGAAGAGAGGTGGAAGGAGGTCCGCCTACTTCCAAACCCAGCTCCCTCCCTTCACTCAGGTCCATGCCTCTGGCTTCACTTTTCCTGG